CTATGCTAAACTTTTCTTTGAGACGCTCTGGTCTTCCTTTCCTTCCCTTCTCCCTCTGCATGCCTTCCCAGGCAACCCTCTTTCCTTTTATGCTCCCCTAGTCTCCCAAAATAAACTACTCATCAAAACTATTTCATTCCCTCCCCTTCATTATAGGTAACCTCAGGTATTAAGGAAATAAACTGATTGGATTAATTTATACTCAGGTGTGGATGACTAATGACCTCTTAATCCTCCTGGAGGCATCTGTCTTTTTAACTTATTTTAACTCAGATAAATATACTTATTTTCCTTATTTTTAAATCAATAAACTTCAGAGGGGAAGTGCAAGAAAATGAAAAGAAAATACTTGGAAAAATAGGTAAAATTACGCTACGTCAAGGAGGCAAGATGACTTCGGTCTGAGTCACCTTCTCCCATAAACTTCCTGATTTTCACCTTTTTTGATTTTTTTTTTACATAAAAATTTTCAAGTTTTTTCATAGTGACCCTCAACACTAAGAACAGGGGTAGTCATTGGCAGAAAGGAATCATTTGTACATGAGGTATAAGTTAGGGAGAGTTTCCATGAATGAGAACTGAAGGAAGAAATATACAAATATTTGGAAGAGAAAATATTTGAAACATCATAGATATTGAAAGTGGAAAGACACCTTGCAGATGATCTAACCCAGTGTATTCCTAAGTGTGGGACGTAAAATGTCTTTAGGTGGTAGGCTTGCAAATCATTAAAATGAAATGGAATCACATAGTAAATAAATCACTGATTTTTCAATTATTTTTCAGGTCTTTTATTATAACAAGGATAACAATTCAGCTGGGGTAGCCCTTAACAGTCCTCTCACTGTTGCTTATTTTAATAAGAAGAGGAGGCCTAGGGCTAAGAGTCTTCAATAGGCAATGGTATCTTTGTAGCATTCAATAAAATTGTTTTGTTTTCATTATTTTTTATTTTTATCAAGATCTTGGAAAAGTGGTATTGATTTTCAATTTGTAATAATGATACTAAGTTTCTTTTAAAATACATTCATTTAGGAAAAATAAAATGAGCTCAAAGAAAATCTTAGGTAAAGAGTGTAAGTGGTACGTAAATATGGAAAAGAATTACGAAGGCGGTATATAGAACATTAAGCCGGGAAAACACTAATCTAACCTAATGAACTTCGTACTTGAATTTAAAACTGATGAGAGAGATATGCATACAAGTGGGGGGAGAAAACCCCACCAGAAATGGTGTTAAGGTAAAACACAAACCTGTCGCTTGTAGGTAGTTAATTCCTCTGAATACACCCATTTGCACAAACTGTAAAGGGATGCGGCCACAAGGTTAGAGCTTACAAGCTTCAGTGACACATGTCTTAGGAACCTCTGTGTATATCTGCACACTCAACCTACAGCATTACCAGAATCAGGATTTTTTCACCACTTCCTCCTATGAGACAATCCTTGGGGATTTCCTACCATTTATAGATCTTTCAGCACATCTTTTTGTTTGTGACCAGAAAGAGGATAATCCTATAAAAATAATACATGAAATTTACATATAGCATTGTATTTATTTTTAGTCTAAATAATGATAATAAACAACAATTCAGCATGATCTGGATTAATTCAGATGTCGTCAATAACTATGGCATGCAGTATGCATTTCCTCTGAATCAGTATGTGAGAATTTTAACCATTAAGGTGAAATAGCTTTGGTTGAGCTCAACAAATGTTTATTAAACACCAAAATATATTCCAGGAACTGTGCTATGTGTTGAGGAATCATGATCAAAAAGAGATTCCAGTCCCTGCCTTCAAGGCATCCACAGTTGTACAAATTAAATATGAGCCATACTATATTTATGAAATTTGTCATAGTTAATATAAACAGTTTTACCTGGAATTACTTTACTTAATGCAGAAACATTTTGATGTAAGACATTATTGCTATCTCCATTTTATAGACAAGGAAACTTATGCTTAGTCAAGTTGACTTGCCCAAGGTCATTATTAGCAATATTAGTAAGCAACAGAGAAAAGTCTTCAACCCGGGAATCCTGCCTCCAAATCAGTCCTTTTCCTGCAATACCAGCATTCAAAATTTTTCCTCTTACATTTCTGCTTCTGGCTGTAATGAAGTAACATGTGGTCTTGCTGAGAACAACTTGAAAAGCCCGAAAAAATACAAAAATTAAATCTATTTGAAGGCATTTAGTCTATTTGACATCATTAGAAAATTGCCTTAGCAACCACGATTTTAGAGTACAAGATGACAGAGGTGAGGGAACCTCAAAAATGAGGCCTACCAAACAGAAAAACAATGCAGAAAATAAATGAACCCAAAAACTGGTTCTGGGGGAGTGGAGGATGTTAAAATTCACAAGCTCCAACTCAGACTGATCCAGAAAAATATGAAGAGAAGACAAATTACAAGTATCAGGAATGAAAGAGAGGACATCACTACAGGCCCCAGATATATTAAGGCTATAAGGGTATATTATGAACAACTTTATGCCAATTAATTTGACAACTGAGATGAGATGGACACATTCACTGAAAGACACAAATTATAAAATTGACACAAGAAGAAATAGAAAACTTGAACAACCCAGTATCAATCAAAGTAACTTAATTCACAGTTAACAACTTCCAAAAAGAAACTCCAGACCCAGAACATTTCATTTGTGAATGCTATCTGACATCTAAGGAAGAAAATTACCAAACCTACACATACTTTTTCAGAAAATAGACAAGGGAGAAACACCAAATCATTTTATGGTCAGTATTATTCTGATTCCAAAACCAGACAAAGACATTAAAACTAAACAGAATTATAGAACATTATCTCTCACGACATAGATGTAAAACTTAACAAAATATTGGCAAGTTTAATCCAATAATATATATCTGGCATATTGGATAACATATATTCAATAAGCATAATGCATCATGATCAATGGGGTTTTTCCTGGGGATGCAGATTGGCATAGCATTCAAGTCCCAATCAGTAGAGAGAAATCACACAGTAACTAAAACAGAGAAAGTTTGATATGAAGAACTACTGATTCCACGGGTGCCTGGGTGGCTCCGTTGGTTAAGCGTCCAACACTTGGTTATGACTCAGGTCATGATCCCAGGGTCCATGAGATTGAGCCCTGCATCTGCATGAGATCTCATGCACGTGCATGACATCGAGCCCTCCACACTCAACATGGAGTCTGCTTGAGATTCTCTGACTCTCCCTCTGCCCCTCTCCCCGCTCACACACACTCATGTATGCTCTCTCTCACTAAAATTGGAAATGTCTTTGTCTCACTTACAGTTTTATTTACTAAAATTAGTAAATAAATAAAATAAATAAAATCTTAAAAAAAAAAAAGAACTACTGATTCCAACAGAGGAGTAAATCTAAAGACATAAAGACAATGCTACAGAATACACTAGCCCTGAGGAAAGTAACCAAGGATGAACAAACGTAGAAGAGGGCCCTCATCCCAAAGCTGGGATGCATACCTAGTTGGAAAGATGTGGTTATAGTCCATTGGATGGTGAAAAGGTCCTCTGGCTTGCCCAAGTAATCACTTGTCCATAGTTACCAGACAAGAAAGAAACGCCCTTCCAAGGTTTGGGTGGGCCAAAGCTGGTGTGTGGGCATGAAGAAAAAGTCAGGCACCAGGAGCCCAGTCAGAAGCAGAGCAGCGCAAGGCCTGGGGCGTGAAGTGTCTGCACTGGGCCAGAGTAGGGACTGAGATAAGCACAAATGCATTCTTCAAAATTGTAAGTGAGAAAAAGACATTTCCAGACAAAGAAAAAGATAACTGATTGCCATAAGACCAACATTACAAGAACTACTAAAGGGAATTCTTCAGGAAAAAGAAAAATGATCCCAAACAGAAATACAGAATTTAGGAAGGAATTAAGAGCACCAGAAAAGGTAAATATATAAGTAAACCTAACTGAATGTTGACTGTATGAAGAAAACGCTAATATTACCACTACTAATTCTGTCTTGTAGAGTTTTATACTTGTGTAAAATT